GCGCTGTCTACACCGGAGGTTAGGTCGGCTTAACTATGTTGCTCAGGGGGTTGGATTTTTCACGCCCCTGAGCAATGCAGCTGGGTCAACCTAATTTTGTAGTGTGGACCAGGCCTAAGTGCTCTATGCTGGGGGAGAATACACCGCACAGAGATTGAATTCCTGCTTCAAGTGCAAAACTGTGCTCAACCCTAACGATGGCGTTGCAACAAATGCCTCCATGTTGGATGCATCCTGAAATATTTGAGATAGCAAAGTTCTCAGAGGGACCCTGGGGGAGCCATATTTGCTAGAGGATGCCCTTCTCCTTACTACTAAACTCACCTTGGAGTCTGAGTAGCAGCCATGTTAGTCTGTATCCGCAAAAAGAACAGGAATACTTGTGGTGCCTTAGAGACTAACAAATTTATTTGAGCATAAGCTTTCGTGGGCTACAGCCCACCTCATCGGATGCATGCTGTGGAAAATACAGTAGGACAATTTTATATACACAGAGAACATGAAACAGTGGGTGTTACCATGCACACTATAATGAGAGTGGTCAGTTAAGGTGAGCTATTACCAGCAGGAGAGAAAAAAACCCTTTTGTAGTGGTAATCAAGATGGGCCATTTCCAGCCGTTGACAAGAACATCTGAGGAACGGGGTGGGGAGCGGGGAGGAAGGGGGAACATGGGGAAATAGTTTTACTTTGTGTAATGACCCATCCACTCCCAGTCTCTATTCAAGCCTAAGCTAATTGTATCCAGTTTGCAAATTAATTCCAATTCAGCAGTCTCTCTTTGGAGTCTGGTTTTGAAGTTTTTTTTTGTTGAAATATTGCGACTTTTAGGTCTGTAATCGAGTGACCAGAGAGATTGAAGTGTTCTCTGACTGGTTTATGAATGTTATGATTCTTGGCGTCTGATTTGTGTCCATTGATTCTTTTACGTAGAGACTGTCCGGTTTGGCCAATGTACATGACAGAGGGGCATTGCTGGCACATGATGGCGTATATCACATTGGTAGATGTGCAGGTGAACGAGCCTCTGATAGTGTGGCTGATGTGATTAGGCCCTATGATTGTGTCCTAATCTTCCTACTGTATTTTCCACTGCATGAATCTGATGAAGTGGGCTGTAGCCCATGAAAGCTTATGCTCAAATAAATTTGTTAGTCTCTAAGGTGCCACAAGTACTCCTGTTCTTTTCACCTTGGAGTGAAATTTTCAGCTTCCAAAACCTGAGTCAGGACCTCAAGAGTGCTCAGCATTCCCCTGAAGTCAATGGAAGACTTGCCAAATGGGAACAGAGTCAGGTCAGAACTGAACGCTCTTGGGATTCAACCACTAACATGCTTTTTCACCATTTACACTGTCGGCTATTGTTGCATTTTACCCAGCTTGAGCCATGAAGCTTGATTGTTTGGCTTCCCTTTCTGGCTCTTTGTGTCCAGTACAGAAGGGATGTGGACAAATTGGAGAGAGTCCAGTGGAGGGCAATGAAAATTATTAGGGGGCTGGGGCACATGACTTACAAGGAGAGGCTGAGGGAACTGGGGTTATTTAGTGTGCAGAAGAGAAGAATGAGGGGCAGCCTTCAACTACCTGAAGAGGGCTTCCAAAGAGGATGGAGCTAGGCTATTCTCAGTGTTGGCAGATGGCAGAACAAGGAGCAATGGTCTCAACTTGCGGTGGGGGTTGGATATTAGGAAACACTATTTCACTAGGAGGGTGGTGAAGCACTGGAATGGGTTATCTAGGGAGATGGTGGAATCTCCTTCCTTAGAGGTTTTTAAGGCCTGGTTTGACAAAGCCTTGGCTGGGATGATTTAGTTGGTGTTGGTCCTATTTTGAGCAGGGGGTTGCACTAGATGACCTCCTGAGGTCTCTTCTAACCCTAATTTTCTATGATTCTATCATTCTGCACAAGCACCTCATGCATAGCTAGGGATATCGACCTTTTCTGCAACAACCTTTGTCGTACTTAAGGGGCAAGTCAGAATTGTGATTGAGCCAGTTCCTTTGCAGCTCTCTGTGCTGTGTTAGCAAACCTATGAGGTTGCCTCACAGGATGTAGTCCTCTAGGACTGAGATCTGTTATTTCCATGCCTTGCTTAAGACAGTGACTTCAGACCCAGCTTGTGGGATGGGAAGCGTAGTCTGTAACCCATTCCTGCTCTCACAAATGCAGTGTGTTGTCGCTTGGTCTAGTGCTAAAGCAAAGGTGCCATTGGTCAGGAGCCAGGTGGCCTTAGCTGGAGCAAACAGACAACTTGGCAATAAACCTCCCTACTCAAAACCATCAACAGTCTTGTTGCTCTGAGTCCAACATGGACTGGGTCAATTCCAAGGGAATGCCATTCTCTTCTCCCCTGCCTGCCTCCCTCCCTCCCTCCGTTCATATTGAGGCCTTGCCTTTCCTCCGGCGGGCCAGGAGAGTCTGTCTCAGACTCACTGAGTGGTCAACAGACTTGATTCAGACCGACAAGCCCAAGGAGAGCCGTGTGTTTGAGCAGCCTGCAGGGCTGTAATACAGGGATCTGATTCCCGTGGTTGGGCTGGGTGTAAGATGGCTGGTGGTGACATGCAGGAGGTCAGACTAGATGATGTGGTGGTTCCTTCTGACCTTAAACACTGAAGACTCAGCCTTCCCTTCCCCAGGGAAAGCCCCTTTGCTCCCCGCTGGGCTGCAGTCCTCAGGTCTTGCAAACACTGCTCCTTCAACGGCCAGAGGAAACGGGTCCTCTCTGTGTCAGAGCAGCTACTGCCTCACCTGCATTTCCTGTTGCCTCCTGATGGTTTCTGCAGCTGGAGGGTGCTGCCAGAGTTGCCACCTTGGGTAGATGTTGCAGGGCAGGGCAAATGTTAAGCCCACTAGACGGTATTTCGCTGCCCTAGGTGCTTCCCACCCCGAACTGTCTGGAGGGGTGCCAGCTGGCATAGTGATGGTGCAGTGGCTACTGGCATGGAGAGGCAGGGCCCTGGAGGAGCAGATTTCCCACACCCAAGCTGGGCAGCTGGGCCACAGTTGTGCAGGTGTGGCAGGTCTCAGCTGCTGGAGGAGAGGCAGGGGCGTCTCTTAAAGAGGCAAACCGCCTGAAACTGGGCTTTAGGAGCAGATGGACCAGAGCCCCACTGATGTGCCTGTTTGAGGGGTGGCCAATCCAAGGGGAGCCCCAGAGAATAAGCCTATATTTCCCCCAACACAGTCATGCATAGGAAATGACAGCCCAAGACAATTACTCTCAGTGCCTGTTTTAGATGCCTCTATGGCCTCTGTTACCACAGCATCTGTGCATCTCGCCACCTTTTATTTATCCTCCCACACCTGTGTGGGCAGGACTATTATCCCCATTGTACAAATGGGAAATGGAGGCACAGAGAGACTAAGGGCACGTCTACACCAAAAAAAAAAGGTATGTTATTAACGGGTTAGCCAGCTCAGGTTAAAATAGCAGTGAAGATGCAGCATCTCTGCTTTTAATGTGTGTTAGCAGCTCCAGTTAAAACCTATAGGGCAGCCTGAGATCGAACTCCAGCTGCCAGGTTAGTGTGTATTTTAACCCCAGTTAGCTCATCTGAGTTAAGAGGTCACCTTTGCACGTAGTGTAGACATGCCCTGGCCTAAATGATTTAGCCAAGGTGACACAGAAAGCCTGTGACAAAACAGGGAGTTGAACCTGCCCCCCCCCCCGGCCAGCACTCTGATCGCTGGATCATCCTTCCCCTCTGGGGTAGGTGGTACTGTCAAGAAAATCAACAGGGGATTTTTAAAAAAAACTCTGTTCCACAGTTAAGCTCGGTGGGTCAGCTCCTCAGCTGGCGTACGTTAGCAGAGCTGTAGTGATCCCTATGGCACTACCCCTACGCCCACCAGCAGAGCTCAGTCCCGGGCGGGCGACGTGGAAATAGTTTGCACTGGTGTGAAATCAAAACCCTGGATTTACTCACTCTGGATATTTTTTTGCAAATGTATTAAGCAGTAGGAATTGAACCCATGTCTTGAGCATCAAGCCACTAGATCAACCTTCCCCCCGGACTAGGGGTGACAACAGAAGAAGTACTATAGGGAACAGTACTGCCTGGGAACACTGTTGCCCTAATAGGTCTCTTCCATCTCTGGGCTCCAGGATTTTTTATTCAGTGCTGCAGCACCATAAATACCCTGTCCCTATAGTCTTATGTGGCCCACATTAGGATAAAGCCTTCCATTGCATTGAAGTAAAGGGATTTGCCTAATCAGTTACTCATGAACCAGCAGGGAGCTCTGCAAAGCCATCCTGTGCATCCTATTCTCCAGTGTTTCCTTTATCTGACTTCCAGTCAAATGGAAATGTTTAGGTAACAGCATGGAGGTAACAAAACACACAAGTGCATCCATCTCTGGCTTGGAGCACCTGCTGGGCAAGGGAGCTGGGTCTGAAGTTTCCAAGTGCCAGCCAAGCTCCTCCTCACCCAGCTGATGAAAACTACCCAAACACATGTCTGACTGGGAACAGGTGATGATGGCTCTAGACTTGCCAACGTCTTGAAATATTCCAATTTCCAGTGTTCTGGGTGCATTTCCTCTGATTGTGCCTCCCTTCCTGTTAGGATTTCTGGTTAGTGCAGAGTTCTTTCGAGTTCCTAAGCTTTACATGGGCTCTTCCCCCTCCTTCTATCAACACTCCCCAAAGAATCTGGAGCTTTGCTGACCTGATAGAGACTTGTTCATAGCAATCTCAGTGCAGCACTGTCTGCATGTAGCACAGTTCCTGTGGCATTAGAAATAAGCGATGAGTTTTCAGACTATTTTAAATAAACTACCCCAGTTACCTTCCATCACTGGCACGTCTTCTGGGGGGGGCAGGATCTGAACAGTATCACCTAAAATACAATTCTATAGAAACAGAAAAATATGAGGGGGGATGTTTTTCTTGGTAGCCCCAGTTCAAGGGATATTGACCTCGTGGGAAGGTGTAGACATTCCTGTCATCGGTGTGGGAGAGTAATTGGACTGATTCTTCCTTTTCCCTTCCTAGGTAAATTTCCGTGGCTCTGGGAACAGCAGGAGTTGCTGGACAGAACGCACTCACATTGAGAAGCGTCTCCTGGTCCTGATCGTGGTTCTAGCACTCAGCCTCTTGGCCTGTGTCTTAGCCCTGGGATTCCAGTACAGAGATAGTAAGTCCTTCATTTGCATAAGATCTATGTATGGTAGCTGTAGGGTGACTGTGTGAAGAGCACTGATGGCAGCTGCTACAGAAGTGAGCCAGGGGTTACAGCTGAGCTCCTCATGGGCAGGTCAGATCACAAAATCCATTGCAACAATCGGCATCCTTGCTATAAGACTCAGAGGCCTCGGATTTGAAATGGGGATGAAGGCTAAAACACCTTCCCCTGCAGCAAGGGCCTTTCTGGGGCAGGGCTGAGAGATGCTGACAAATATGGCTGGAAGGAGGATTCTGTTCTCTGGGGCATCAGGCAACTCTTTGACTAGCACTGCACTCCTCTGGGTGGGACAGAGGGAAATAAAGGCTGCTTTGCAGACCTAGTTCAAGATGTGTAAAGAACTTGTGAACTCTTCCACCCATGTGAATTTAGGGACAACGTTCCCCTGGCTCTAGTCAGCCAGATTGTCCCTGGCATTGGTGGGAAGTGGCACCATGGTAAAATAAGAGGGACTTTAAGCCCTGTCATCCTGCATTGCTTGCCCCTTCAGTGAGCTGCTGTACGATAGTTTGGGAGCCCCGACTCCCTTTTTTTAAGGGATCTGAGACCCTAACTAAAGGAGGGAGGAAATGAGGAATAAGACTCACTTGCCAAGAGAAGTAGCCAAAAGGTCCAATTGTACATGTGCCTAGACACCGGAAGTGTCTTGTCCCATTGGGTTTGTCTCAGACTCTGCCCCACCTTGATGCCGAAGCCTTTCCAGCGAACTCTGTTTTCAACCCAAGGCAGCAGGACAAACTTTGGATGCCTCCAGGGTGACTTGTGGTCTGATGTTCTGCCCCTTCCCTTCCAGGGCCGTCCAAGTCATGTCTGACGGAAGCCTGCATCTCCGTGACCAGCTCCATCCTGAGCTCTTTGGACCGGACAGTGAGCCCCTGCGAGGATTTCTTCAAATATGCCTGTGGTGGGTGGATGAAGGGAAACCCCGTGCCCGATGGCCACTCGCGCTGGGGCACCTTCAACAACCTCTGGGAGCACAACCAGGCCATCATGAAGCACCTTCTAGGTGAGTGTCTGTCGTCTTATGTACCACCCGTGAGGCAAGGTGGCCATTCACAAGCAGAAGCGGAAAAGCAGCAGGAATCCAGGGACTGGGGCGATGCCCCTCGGCTGATCCTTCCTTGTGACTCTTGGGGTGCTGACTTGCCATCTCCATGAACCTGGATAGGCTGGTCCCAATAAAGATCCTACTCCTTCTGAAAGAGGTGAAGGTTACAACATTGCCTCAAGAGAACTGTAGTATCTGGGTAGTGCTCTCCCATGCTGTAAGATGGGCCTGGAACCAAGCAAGCGCTGCCAAACAATCTCTTCCCACCTCTCGAAAGTGCATGTTCTGCAGCTGGGTGGGACCAGCCCTGCAGCATCATTTCCCAGTGCTAACTTTGCCAGAAGCAAACTCTGCCTTGCATTCAAATGGCTCCTGGATCTTTTACTTCCAAAAAGTGGGGGGTTAGGGGAGGATGATTGCGATGCTATCTGCCAGTTGACAAGAGGGCAGTGGCTTGGGTTTTTGCTCCTGCTGGGTTTCCACAATAATTAAGGACATTAGTAGGAGCGTTGCCAGCAGATCGAGAGAAGTGATTATTCCCCTCTATTCAGCACTGGTGAGGCCACACCTGGAGTATGGTGTCCAGTTTTGGTCCCCCCACTACAGAAGAGATGTGGACAAATTGAAGAGAGTCCAGCAGAGGGCAACAAAAATTATTAGGGGTCTGGGGCACATGACTTACAAGGAGAGGCTGAGGGAACTGTGGTTATTTAGTCTGCAGAAGAGAAGACTGAGGGGGGATTTGATAGCAGCCTTCAACTTCCTGAAGGGGGGTTCCAAAGACGATGCAGGTCGGCTGTTCTCAGTGGTGGCAGATGACAGAACAAGGAGCAGTGGTCTCAAGTTGTAGTGAGGGAGGTTTAGGTTAGATATTAGGAAACACTATTTCACTAGAAGGGTGGCGAAGCACTGGAATGGGTTACCTAGGGAGGTGGTAGAATCTCCATCCTTAGAGGTTTTTAAGGCCCGGCTTGACAGAGCCCTCCTGATATGATTTAGTTGGTGTTGGTCCTGCTGTGAGCAGGGGATTGGACTAGATGATCTCCTGAAGTCTCCTCCAATCCTAATATTCTATGATTTGGTCACAGAGGTCACAGATTCCATGACTTTAACAGATGTCCGTGAGTTCTTCAGTCTCAGCCCCTGGCAGTGGGGCTCAGGGAGGGAGCACCACCTCCGCCCTCTGACTCACCTCGGCGGGCCATCTCGCCTGTAGGTCAGTCAGTGTCAATGCCTCCACGCTCAGCGGAGATTTTTGGTTGCTCTGATGATATCCTGATTTTTGTACATTTTTACCATGGCTGATCAGTGAATTTTGCCTAATTTTACCATGACAAAAGCTTATCCATAATAATAATAAAAGTATCCCCTATTCAAAGAACTAGGTGCCCTGACACATAACAAAATTAAAATTAACCAGCAGTATACTGTCTTCCCCCTGACACCGAGACCCAAGAGATCTGAATCTTTTAGAAAATACACAGCTTCCTCTCCCCTGCCCGCCGCCCCCCACAGATCTAACCCACCCAGCACAGAAGTTTGCAACATGTCCCAAGGTTCCTGGAGGCATAGATATAGTATAGATGCACTGTGCAGCATGCCCTGAAGATCCAAATATCCAAGCTATTTCAGACCTGTGGACCCCTCACTAAGAAAGCTCAACTGCCAGCCCTCACTCTTTTAAACTAAGTGGATCCAGCATGAGTGGCTTTGCACACTGCAGCGCTGAGGATATGGTGTGATGAGAGAGATTGCCCTTACTGAGTAGAAAAGTCCTGTCTGTTGTGAACCTGGGTGAGTGAAACAAGTTGCCCAAGAGAGAGATGGGAGTGTCTCTGAGGAACTGAGAATCCTGTGCTGGTGGAAGAAACTCTGAAGCAGTGGGGGTGCCAATCTGCAGGGGAGCATCCTCCAGCCCCCTGATCGGAGTGTTGAAGAGCAAGGGGCTATGGAGGATCCCATAAAACATGGCGCTCCCCCTGTGCAGCTCTCTGTAATTCTGCCAGGGCTTTGTCCTCTGATCTAACCCTTGGAACTGGGGCACCTCCCTGTCTGCACACTAAGGGAGTGCTCGCCACGTGCTGTGTGCCAGCAGCCTGCAGAGGGGTTAGCCTCTCTCCGGTGCCAGTTCCAGCCAGGGCAGGATGTGATCCAGCAGCTCAGATGTGGCGTCTGTGGGCTCAGCCAGGAAACCAGATCTTTCCAGTGTTTATTTTTCTTTACGCCCCCAGGATTTTTGTCTTTCGTGTTCATTGCTTTGTCTAGGGTAGAGGAGAGTTTGCAGAGTGAGTTTGAGGCCCCGCCCCCTCACTGCGGAGAGAGCCTCTTTGTTTCATTAACCCAGGCGGGAGCCAAATGTGGAATTGCCAACTTGTTTTGAGGGGAATAACAATCCAGGCCAGGATCTTCTGTCCTTGATTCCAGACACTCCTGGCTAAGGAAGCCCCTTGGTATCTGGCCAGGACGGAGTTCATTGTCTCTTACCCGAAGCAGTGTTGAAATTCAGTGGCCCGGTAGGAAGCCCACTCTCTGTTAGCCTGAGCCCCTGTTGTGGAGCATTCTAGGGCTCCTCTCTGGATTCCAGGCCTAGCTTGTGCTCACACACACACACACAAGAGTCCAGTGTTTGATGGGTTTGCCCCAGCTGACCAGCCACAAACCCATTTTCATGTGGGCACGTAGGTGGGGTGTGAGGCCTGCAGTTCTGAGACACAGCTGCGGTTCTGCCCCACTTCAGGTCCCACATTCAGCTCTAGCAGGCAACTTTACTACACAGTGATACAGACTCAGTTTTGCTGGGGTAGCTGAGAAGGTAGCAATGGCTGCAGGGCCCTCATGGCTGAGACACTTGCTCCTTGGACATCTAGGAAAATCACTAACTCTGGACTTTCCCTCCCTCAATCATTATTTGCAAACCCTAATATCAAACCGTGTTTTGCTTATTGAGCTAGTCTGAGACAGGACCTGCCCCCAGCACAGGCTAGTCATTAGAATCACTAGAATACCAGGGTTGGAAGGCACCTCAGGAGGTCATCTAGTCCAACCCCCTGCTCAAAGCAGGACCAATCCCCAATTTTTGCCCCAAATCCCAAATGGCCCCCTCAAGGATTGAGCTCACAACCCTGGGTTTAACAGGCCAATGCTCAAACCACTGAGCTATCCCTCTCCCGTAGTCAGGTATCTTGGATTGAACTCCCAGCATATAAAACTAGAGTCTCTTCAGGCTAACGCCCAGTGCTCACTATGGCTGATGCTGGTGCAGGTTCAGAGGGGAGGCTGCTTGTGTCTCCCCTATACAGGATTTGGGGACGGGTCATGTGGCCCTGGGGCTGCCCCAACTTGTGCTGCTACTTCAATACCCCATGCAGCTTTCTTTGTAGGAGCATAGAACGACAGGGCACAAATCCACTCTGGCCGTCTCCCCTTTTCTCTGGCCACCTGCACCCTACTTTGGCTTGCCCCAGCACATCTCCTGCAGAGAAGGTGCTGTCGGTGTCAGGAGTAGAGTTTCTCCTGTGCTCAGTTGGGAGTTACTCCTGTCCTACAGCCCTTTTTGCAACAGCCTCACTCGCTCCACCAGTCCACAGAGGTGGCTTGGAGAATGGAGGAGAATTGCTGCCAGGTTTTTGGCTGCGGAAAGGGCCTCTCTTACATGTCTCTGCAGACTGAGAATGATAACTCTGCCTTCCTCCTGGGACCTCCAGCCTAGCATGGATCCTGCAGACATGGTCACAAGGTCCACATTATAGTAGAGGAACTTTTATCACTTGCAGCAGCAAACCCAGAAGTGGTCTTGCTCAAATGTTCTCTCCTCCTGCTCTAAAACTCCCTGCAAGCTTCCCCAGAGTGACTCGCTAGCCAGTTTGACCAAGAGCAGAATCTTGACCCCGTTAATAAAGTGGGTAGTGGACAGGAAAGAGTAATTCATGCTTCCCTGTAGCCCTCATTTCTCTGATTCTGGAACAGAGTGGGCTTTGCAGCATCCCCCTCTTTCTATGATGAAAACTTCTTGCCCAAGGATAGGGATAACTTGCAGTGAGAGGGAGATGGGGAATTCCTAAGGGAAATGCAGAGAGGAAGGTTAGGTGCGGACAGGGGATGTTATAATAAACGACTAAACAAGCACAAAATCTCAGCAGTGAGCTGCACAAGCTTAGTCTAGCCAGCCCCATGAATTAATGGGTGGGTTAATGCAGTGGCTCTTAACCTTTCCAGTCTATTGTACCCCTTTCAGGAGTCTGCTTTGTCTTGCATATCCCAAGTTTCACCTCACTTAAAAACTACTTGTTTAAAAATCAGACATAAAATATAAAAGTGTCTCAGTACACTATTACTGAAAAATTGCTGACTTTCTCATTTTTACCATATAATTATCAAAGAAATCAATTGGAGTATAAATATTATACCTATATTTCAGTGTATAGTACATAGAGCAGTATAAACAAGTCATTGTCTGTATGACATTTTAGTTTTTCCTGACTTCCCTAGTGGTTTTTACGTATCCTGTTGTAAAACTAGGCAGATATCTAGTTGAGTTTATGTACCCCCTGGAAGGGTTCTGCATACCCCAGGGATACGTGTATCCCTGGTTGAGAACCACTGGGTTAATGAGTACAAACCACAGTGACTATATGCAAGAAACACATGTCCCTGCTGAGGCAGTACAATTGGCTCGAGGAGAGAAGAGGTTCATCTCTGTTGCCCCTGGTGACAGCAAAGCTGGCATCTGTCCCAAAGAATAGCCTCCATTCTAGGCTCCCATCATAGAATTGTAGAACTGGAAGTGACCTTGAGAGGTAATCTGGTCCAGTGCCCTGCCTCATGGCAGGACTAAGTATTATCTAGACCATCCCTGACAGGTGTTTGTCCAGCCTGCTCTTAAAAATCTCCAGATTCCAGAACCTCCCTGGGCAATTTATTCCAGTGCTTAATCACCCTGACAGTTTTTCCTAATGTCT